TTTTACTATGGCAATTTCCAAGTGCAGGTGAGAGGGTAAATTTCCTAGCTATAGCAAGCACTTAGTTGTTCATAATTAATAACAAAAATTGAAAATCGGAATATTTAGATATTGCTGAACTGAATATAAGATAATAAATTAATTAACATTTATGTGGAATTTCGGTTTTAATTAAGAAAATTTTCTGCTACTTGTTATACCATTCAATGCGGCATACGAACGAATTTCGTTTAATAATCTACATCTTATTGTGACTCAAATACGTTTTTACTTTGATATACAAAATATGATATAAGACTGAACTAGTATCAAATTATTTTATTGAAAAATTATTAAAAAATTTAATTTCAAAGAGTACTTATAACAGAATTGTATTACTAACAATAATTAAATTTTTAATCTTATCAAAAATTATTGATTTTAGCTATTGTTAGTTTTTATATGCGTAGATAAAATTTTTCACAAACGGAAGTATATAAAAGATTACCGTTTTCGAAAAATTTTAAGAGAAGAATGAATTTTTAAAATTAAAATTGCTGAAATGAGTTTTCTCTTTAAGACGAATATTTAAAGAAGTTTTTATGATCTCCGTTAGGAAAAGAGCACAAAATAACTCAATTTTTAAATTTTTCTTTTTATTGCTTAATTTATTTTACGACGTTTAAGAGCACAGACCTTTGTAGATAGTAGGAGTATATTTACTTCCGAAATGATTGGATCTCAAGTATATTTGTCCAAACAAGAATTTTTATATAGAATCACAATAATTATGAAAAAATATTTTAATAAAGATTCAAATTTTATTATTAATTTTAAAATATCATTTACATTTACACATAGTATGTGTTTATACTGATTTCTGTTTTGTACAAAGTGATAAGTTTTTTTCTTTTAGCTCCTAAATCTTATTTAAAATTTTTATATATATACATTTAATTATTATTTATTTAATTAACCAAACATCATTTTAATATAATTATCGTCTAGTTGTATCATTAGCTTTATCACAAACCCATACGTCCCATGGGACACAACCTAAATTATCGACATTATCAACAAAACCTCTAGTACCTTTCTTTGGTGGATCACCATTAACTGGATAATCTAAACAATCAGCTTCAACTGGATGCCTACTATTTCCAGGTTGATCTTCTGTACATGCCCAGAATTTATTTGGATTTACATGTCTATGAGGTTTATAATAATTATCTCCTTCACATGATGGCTCTCCAGATTTTGATGTACATTGCCAGTTTTCCCATGGAACACAACCGGATACATCATTTTCAACACGAAGGAAACCACGTCCAGGACCACATCTCATAGGTTTTGGTTCGGCATCTTTATGATCACAATACCAATATAAATTTGGATCTTGATGTGGCCATAATTCATGTTGATCATGAATACATTCTGGTTTTTCAATAAGGTCTGCAGAAACAACACCAATAATAGCAATTAGACATAAAAACTGAGCTTTGTGTAAACCTTTACGAAAAAGAAAAGAAAAATTTGCAGAATTATTATTTGAGGAATCACCAAAGTTTTTATAGTAGTATCCATAATTTATTTAGTTTATTAAAATTAACGAAGAAAGTGATTTTTTGAAATTTCCATGTCCATAAAAAAATTAATGATAAATACCTGCCATTTTAAACCTAATCGTTCGAAAGTTCAACTGAATAACTTTGGAAATTCTTAAAGTTTTTATATTAAATTGTTTTTCAACAGTCTGCCTGGATAACATCTTTTATATATCGCTTATCAGAATTTGACAACTTATACCCTTACTTTTTAATTAATTTTTATATCTCATTCAATTTAATTTTTTTTCTTTGGATAATTTGAGCATATCAAATCTTTTAGATAATAATACTTTCAACAAATTGTTTGTTATTTATGTCATTTTAGATTCTTTGAAATTTTGATGAGTAAAATTAATTTCCATTTACGTTATTAATATACATGGAATATAACCATATGCATAGTTGGAATGTGGCAGGCATTAACGTACTCAATATTTATTGCGTGCTGATGGCATTGACAAATTCTATAACTTTTTAATAGAATAAATATAATAAAACTTGATATCATACGGTTCTATATACCATAGCTCAGAAACATAACAGAACGTATTCATCTTTTTCCGGGTCAGTATTCATTTTTCTCCGGGTAATGTCTGAAATATGATAATTCAGATCTATAGTTCAGTTTTTCGTTAAAATTCGAATTTCGGGTTGGAAATAAAATTTTCACTCCTTATATTAAATTTACCCACATCAATATTTAGTTAGAAGAATTTTTTAAAACTGTTTTTTGAATAGTGTTAAAATTGGCGGCAAAACGGTTTTTTTTTTTTTTTATAAAAAGTTAATCCGAGCCGTATTCTAACTAAAACCTATAAAGGGTTAAGAAATTTCAGATCTACGAAATAATCTCCTTTTGTTGCCAAATTTTCATATCGGCCATTAGAACAGTCAAGGTTAAGGTTGGAGACGCCTTAATCGATGAAACTGTTATTGTAATTTCCAATATGTCTTGAATTAAATGTGGTCTAAAAATTTCGAATTAGTAATTTGCAATGCCTTTCTTTATCAAGAAATATATAATACTCTTTTTTTCGAAAAAAAGACTCTCTCAGTTTCTCTTACTTTTTTATATTTTTTTTAGGTTACCTCTTTCTCAGTTAATTTAGATTCTCCTAGTAACCATATAACAGCTGCAGTGGTAAAATTTTGGACGAAGAGAAAATTTCTATGGAAGCTTAAAGTAAGGTAAGATTAATAAATTATTATTTTTTTAGTTAAATATTGTTGAAAAAAAATTTATAGCAGTCAAATCGTTTAATATTGGTAAATAATGGTCGGTGATTTCGATTACAATTTTTCCAAATATTCTATTTTTAATTTATGCTTATGTGAATTCAAACATAAGTATTTTAATTAAAAATAATAAATAATTCGTTGAATGAAAAAAATTAAGACTTAAAATAACATTTTTGAAAATTTTATATTGATTTGAAAAAGTCGAAATATGGTACACTTTCTTTTTCATTCAAATACATCTTAACTGATTTGTGTATTCCACGAAATAATTTTCAAGAATAATAATAAAGCTTGGTTAAGTAAGTTTAGAATGATTTGTTCTTCAAACAATTCAGAGTATTCGAAAATTGATTTTTTGGAGTTACCATAACTTTTTCTAGATGGATGTGTTTTTAATATTAATACGAGTATTGTGCTCAATATTTTGGTGCATACATACTTATAAGAAGGTAAGCGATAATTTATAAATTTTATAGGAAAAAAGAAAAAACGTTATTAATTATTTGTTGTACTTATAATTTTATTTTTCATCACTTTATTGTACAAATGTGTGGAATTTCCACAAATGTCGAAATTCGTGACCTAATATTTAAGGATCGACAAAACGATTGCAAGAAGCAAGTAAAAATGTAAGTAAATGGTGCGATCGTGCAATTCAGTCTTGAAAAATGGTATCGGGTGCAGGAAATAATGATTATATTGGATAGCCGGGTTGCTATCGGAGTATTGAAGACATTAACTGCCGCGCAGTATGGGACTATCTTGAGAAACTTAGTGAATTAGAATAAAACCCATATGGATATATGGTACACAGCTATGGGGCTGTGCAAAGCAAACGCTTATCAAGTAAGTAAAAACTATTCAGAAGAAGGTAATTCGTGGCTGCTTCCTGGTATGTACGTAATAGTGCCATTCATAAGGATTTCGGTGTCCTAGAAATACGTGAAGAAATAAGGAATTGTTCCGCAATATATATGGCGCGTTTGGAGCAACATGTGAATGTAGAGGACCCTTCGGTTTAAAGAGTTAGGACTTAAAGACTGAAAAATACGAGATCTCTCGATTAAGCGTACAGTGTTATTACAGTTTTACTAGTTTTAGAAAGTTATGACTACCCAGGCGCGCTTTAGATTGGGTTAAAGTCCGCCCACTATTGATAGGTTTGACAACGATTTGAGTTCGACTATCTTTGTTTCTCGACGATTTTCACCTGTAAAGAGAAAAAAAAATTTATTGCATATATAAAATATGAAGACGCAGATCCAGACTTATGGTCCAAAAATATAAGATTTTAAAATATACATTGGTAGAAAATAAGAAGGAATACAACGAAGAATAATCTTCAGTTTCTCTTATATAGCATTAAATGTTAATTTAGCAGCAACTTTATGTGTCTCCTTATTAACTTGATGTATTTTTCAGAGTTTAATTTTATTAATAATTCATTAAATAATTTCATCTTACTTGTGACGAACTTGCTCAAAAAATTCAATTTTACACTTGTACATATGGATATATGCGTATTTTACAAGACAAAATTTTTCAAGATCTACCATATTAATCAAAGAAAATCTAAAGGGACTATAATTTAATGGAAAATTACTGTAAAAAAGAGCGCCCCTAGTATTTTCACGAAATTTAACAATTGTCAATTACTAATTAAACAATACCAAAATTTTATGATTATCATAATTAAGATAATCTGAATTTGATAAAAATAATTAACAGTGTAAAATTGAAAAGTACTTATGAAATTGCGAAAAATTATTTAGATATGATGTAAGATGATACAGAGTGTTTAAGATGTGAACAGAGTTTAACTTAACAAATTGACTTCTTTAGTGTTCGAAATACCCCAATGGAAAATCAAAGTTTAACGATATTGCGTGCATTTTATAATTTGAAAAATAAACGTTTATAAAGTTTAGAGAGTTGGAAAAAATATGAGCAGTAAAATAATGCTATCACAAAGCAGTTATTTTTTTGATCCATATTTTTTTGAAATCACCTTGTAAAATAATAAGAAAAAAAATGATTTTCATAGAATTTGACTGTAATCTTAATTTACAATTAGCACAAATTAAATATTTTTCTTTAAGTTGATATAAAACGGCGTATGCAATAATATTTTGAGCACAGTATCTTTTTTCTTAGTGACTAAGAAACGAACGAATTATGTCTGGTAAGAAAATTAATTTCTTAAATAAAATTATAATAAATAATGATGAAAAATAAATAACCTTGATATTAAATTTTAAAAACAGATACGACAGTCATTATAATTAGCGCTTTGTTATTGATATCGTGGGCCACGTGGTGTCAAGCACAACAATGTGATCCTAATATGTCTCACAGTACACATCCTATGCCAAATAAAAATCCTTTAATGTTTTATATATGCGTAAATACGGATACTCCTTTTGTTATAAAATGTCCAAAAGATTCTGGTTTTGTATCCACAGCTACTGTTCATGGTTGCATAAGTTTTAAGGACTGGCCTAATGCTCCAAAAGATAGAATACCAAGCTGCTCATTGGGTAATCATCAACGTCTTTATAGGCATATAAATCCATCATTATATTTTGCATGTAAGGATGTCGATATGCCTATTCTTTTAAAATGTAATGATGGACAAGGTTTCACATACACACATAACAGAGTGGGATGCGTTGATTGGGTTAATTGGAAATTGGAAGATCAAGTAAATGATGAATAAAATATGTGAAAATATATAAAATGGCTAAAACTAAGTGTTCTATTTCTAAGTAAATCAGTTGTCCTACAAAAAAAAAAAAAAACAAAATGTAATTTTTAAATAATATGTAAAGTAGAATTTGCTCTCAATGTGAAATTATTTTGTGAATCATACAATGTTGTTAAATAATAGGAGAATGTTTGCAATATCAACATACATATATAGGATTCTGATGTATTATATTATATATAAAATTAGGGTTTATCAATTTGCTGCTATATACTATATTATAATAAAGTTGTTTAACTTAATTGTGTATTGGTTATCAGTAATTAGTTGCGGATAATGAAGTGCTTCTTGCTATTGAACTAAAAATCATGTTGTATACAAGACTTACAATTTAATGATGATTTATTTGAAATTACTGAATGGTGTAGAAAACGTACGTATAAACTAAACCACGGTAATTTCTTCACGCTTCTGTCGTACTCATAGATCACTCAAGAAGAATGCGGTATACAATATCCCTGAAAAATTTAAATTTCTCTACTATGGCTCAGTGATATGCCTACGTCATCTATTTTTTGTGAAGTCGTATAAAAAAATTTTCTCGTCACGAAATTCTTTTCTTCTTATCATCCGAAATTCATTAGAAAATGCGGTGATTCTTCCTTTGAAAGTATCTGTAGTTGAAAGTTCGTGTTTTAGTAGATTATTCTTTCATGAAAGATTTTCAACTCTCTAAACACCTACATTTTATATTCTAATTTTGAACAGTTTTTCAAACAGTGTACGTATCTAGCATACAAAGGCTTCCATGTGATGATTAAAATGTGAGTGTAATCTGTATTTACATTATGAATTGAAAGTTTGAGATTCAATAACTTTGTAATACCTTTGCTAAGAGGTTCTTTTTAGTTGTAGTTGAATTTGAAAAAAAGTTCTTCCTTAAATTTATTGATGACTATACAAATAGAAGAGAAGCTCTCGTCGACATTTCTGTTTTAAGTTACGTATGTAGTTTAATGCGTCAAAACCAGTTAGTAATTCCGAGATTCGTGGCAGTCTTCACTGCTGTTTGTGTTTTTGAGATATAAAGTTTTTACCGTGTCTTTGATTGTAATGCCATTTGAATTTTTTGAGAAAGATTCTGATAGTTCACGGAAATTATCGTGGTGATTAAAAGTGAGAAATTGCATTTCTCAATGAATAACTATAGGAAATAGATCAAATATCGATTAAAAAACAAAAGTCAAAAATCTATATGAATGAAAATGATTTATTTTTTATTCAATATTGCGTTATTAATCTATACATGCTTTGTTGTAATTAATCTTTCTTTTGTTTAACTAAAATAACACATTTGTTAACAACAACCTAACATTTAACAATTTATTTTGAATACATTTAATCTTTAGAAAACACTTTGATTTTTTTGTATAGAACTTGTAAAATTGCATATTTTTTGCCTCTTTTCTCTTTGTACTTGTAGTTATTTTGTTCTTCTATTGATATTAGGAGAATAAAATGGGACCTTATAACCTATAAAGCACTATATATAAAGTACAATTTGCGCAATATAATATCCCTTTTAATTTATATTTTAGATTAGTTTTCATAGCATTCATAGCATTCATTAAATGTATACCCAAGTGAATGCCCTATATAAATAGCGTAAATTTTTATTTAGAACAACTATTAAACAATTTAAAAATTCTCAATAGTGCATAGAACGAATAGTGCAATAGTACAAAGTTTTGAAATATGTAGTTGGCATTTATATATTAAAGTTGTGGATTGAATATTACTGGATTAGGATGTGAATTTTATTTATTTTTTTTTTTTTGAAAACTAAATTGAAAAATATTTTTTATTGTTAGTATGGTATGTGCAAGAGCTTAAGTAAAATTGAAATTTATAATATTTTATTTTGTTTTTATTTTGTGCTACTAGTGAAGCATACTGAATAACATTTTGTTTAGAAATCCAATGCTGATATTAAAAATATTAATGCTATTCTTATTCATACTAGAACACTTTAGGGAAAATATGATTATTTAAAACAGGAAAAAAAATTATTATAAAATATGAAACATGAGAACGTAAAGTTGTGGTTTTAATTTGGAAGAGCATAACAGGTAGGTTAAAAGAATTTTAAAATTCCTGAGAAAATGCAATTATGAAATTGTTTTGACTAAATTTTAACGCTTCTTCTTGCTAAACTAGCAAAGATAGAATATTTTTTTCAAAGCGATTTTTCAAAAGATTTTTCAAATAATTTTTGCTCTATGCAATCAATTCTATCGTGAATTAATTCATGTGATCGTGAATAAATTTAACCATCTTGCGTTTGATTCAATGAGGAATTTCTATTTCTAACAAAAATTGATTATGTGGTTAGAATTTAGATTAGATTTAAATTCTGCAAAATTTTATTATCTTTTATATTTTAAGAAGTAAATAAGGTGTAAAAATTTTAATCGGGTAATGTGGGTAGTCTAGCTACGAATTGAAATGGAAAATTTAAATTTGAGTTTTTAATATTTATACATATGTATAGTAACTGCATGTACAATATGAGTGTGGAACAATAATGAAAATTTGGGAACTCGTATTTTAATAGTTTTCGGTAATGGTATTCCAATATTATTTATATAATGTCACTGATATTTGCAAGGGAAAATATCTTAAATTGTATTGGTTTACCTTGGGATACTTGTGCAATTTAAATGTAAATTTTTCAATATTTTTCAATTTTCTTTGCAGTATCCAGTAACTAAATTATTTTATATACTTTTTGTTGTAGTAACCTACATAAGAAATATGAATAAGGTGACCAGTGATAATATTCACAATTGCTAAAACACCTTTTCTTTTTGTTTTTCAAATTTCGTATGAAGAAATCAAGGAACTTGTTCGTTTTTCGACCGTATGCAAATGAAATCTTGTGTTGCGTTTTTCTTCGAATGTTAAACTTGGAAAGAATTAAAATTTATTTTAAAGACGTATATGTACTTACCTCTTTTAAAAGAAGGAACGTTTTCCGTTATTTTAAATTAAAGCAAATGGCAACTTCTTACATGAGGAATGTGGAATAAAAATCATCAAACATAAACCTTGTGGTCGTTACTGTTTAAATATTGTGCGTTTGTACACATTTTTGTATTCATTTGACACACGTTACACATAAGTAATAGAGTGTGAAAATTCTTTACATCTCATGTGAATTTGAGGCAAACAATTTTAAATTTAAATTTAAATTTTTAAAACACAATGAGAGTATGTAGATTCCTTCATAAAATATTCTAATAAAAAATTTTTTATTGATTTTTATTAATATTGAAATTTTTAACTTGGGTTGCTTGCTCCAGAAAATATTACATTGAATTTAATTTTGATATTTTTTCCAAAATTTACTAATTAAAAAAATTAAAGTTTTCAAAATAGTTGTGGATATTTCAGAGACCTTTTCAATTATATGCTGGATGATCATATTTAGTGGTACGAGAGACACCAATTTCCAGACGGCCAATTTTGCCGATTATTTAAAATACAAACCCGCGTGTAATAAAAATATAGATCTGACTCAAATTTCAAGTCTGTGGCTCTTGGCATTCTCAAATAAGCGTTTCAACAGACGGACGGACGGACATACCTAAGAACTAGATATACTAAGAATTTGATTCTGGACAAAAAGTAAGTGTGTGTTCCTTCTTCTATGTCGTGACGTATAATATAGACTCTTAGTATAGTATATATAGACTCTTTAATTGTACCATATTAGTAACAGTTTTAATTGTACTTAAAACTAAAAGCCTAATTTAAGTTAAATTATGCATTCATTATTAAATAGCTAGCAATATTACAATTTTCTTATGTAATTTTAATAATTGAATTCATAATTGCATATTATGTTGCGAAGTAATATAATGATAACATTTTTACTTAAATTTTCTCCTTAACAGAATTTCATTAATATTATACATACATATTTAAAGAAGGAGCTGAAAACCTAAATGAAAATATACCCAAAAAATAATAACAAATTTCTACAAGATTGTTGTTTTGTTAAAAAAACAAAAAAATTATGAGAAAAAGATACAAAAAGAAAATAATACCAAAGTGATTGCATTTTAATGGCAAATCTTGTAAAAAACTAAACACAGGCGGTAATTAAAGGCAAACAACAGAGTATTAGCATTCGTACGAAAACAAAAATTTATTTTAAAGACAAATCTAAACAGCAAACAATAATTATAGAAAATTTACTTTTGCTTTGCAACAAATGTAATAGTGTTATATTAAGTGATATTATAAGCGACGTGACCGATTATTGATATACAAAAAATTGAAAGACGGATCAAGAATTTAATCAATGAGATTTTGCTAAAAATTGATTTTATTTATACCAAGAAGATCTCGGTATTGTTTCACAGTTCGCCTCCCGGTATTGTTGCTAGCTTCTCTTCTAATAGTTCTAATGGTTATATAAAATTCCATAATAGTATAAAACTCCTGACTACATCAGAATGTATATCACAATGGAAGGCGAAGTTATATGCATTTTGTTAGATATTCGGATTTTTCGATATATCGCCTTCTGTTTTTACATAGAAAATAAATTTTAAATTCTTGTTATATTAATTTAAAGCCAAGTTTCTATTTTCGTATAACAGAATTTTTATTTAAAACCGTTTTCCTTATGCAAACTACTCTCAACTATTCCGGGAGCTTTTTAAAATTGCTATATACCCTTAGTGACATGTAAAGGTTATGAACTATTGAAGAAAATTAACATCTGCCAAAAACTTGTATATACAATGTTTACAATTTTGTGTGTTAAAAATTGTGTTTACATTTTATAAACTTATATAACAGTTATTTATAGTTATACAATAATATAAGTGTGTATATAATAATTTATAATGCCTGTGTGTTTTTATTACTGTAATTTAATTAAAGATTTTATTTATCGTTATTTAAATTTTTGGCTTTGCACAAAAAGGCAGTGCAAAATTTAA